TATAGGAAAATAAAACACCACTATTCTACATGGATCAGTTGTATCTTTTCAAAGATATCTTTTTTCTTTCTTTCTTTTTTTTTTTTTTTTTGGTGGAAATGGGGATTGAACTCAGGACCCTTGTGCTTGCCAGGGAACTACTTATTCTACTGAGCCATCTCCCCAGCCCCTCTTTTCAAAGATGTCTAAGTTCTTTTGGTTTTAAAAAATTGTTTTCCATCTTCCTTTGCTAGCTTACTAGTATTTATGCAGCTTACCTACAATGAAGGCAGGGCTGGGGATATAGCTCAGCAGTTTAAGTGCCTGCCTGGCAAGCACAAGGTCCTGAGTTCGATCCCCGGTACAAAAAACAAAACAAAACCCTACAAAGAAGGATAATTTTAGTCTTTTAAGTATATAAAATCTCCTGTATATATCACCGAGAGACTAATTTGTATTACAGTATCACATTAGCTTTAGGGGAGAAGATGTAGTTTACTTAACTGTCTCCATTATAATTTTATACATCAGGTATACTTTTATTATAGCACTTTACATTTTTTAAAAAATAATGAGTACAACAAATTGGGCTCTTAATTCACTCTTTCTAAAGAAAGAAAAAGGCATGCCTCCCCAAGTATTTTCATGTACTCTGTTCTTAAAATTCACCAAATGACAACCAGTCTTGAAAATCTAACAATTTTTAAAAACTATGCGCACTAAAAGATCATCAAGCTAGGCATAGCAGCACATTCCTATGATCCCAGTACTTAGGAATCTGAGGTAAGAGGATCAACACAAGTTTGAGGTCAGCCTCTGGGCCACAGTGAGTTTAAGGCCAACCTGAACTACATAGTAAAATCTTATTGCAAAAAACTTTAAAAAATAAAATAAAAGATAATCAAGCTTTAGATGTAACCTAAACTATAAAAGCTAAATACTAGATAAAAGAGATAATCTCAACAAACTTGTAGATAAATTACTTAAATAAATTTTTAAAAACCTTTCAAAACCTTCAAAAAGACGTTAAAGGACAAAGGAGGAAGAAAGCCCAGCTGAGGCCTTGGTAATAATTAACTGCCGATAGGATGATTTAGACCCTCAGATGTGAGCTCTTACTTGCATCACTAGGTTCAGTATTAAATGTATGTCCCTGAATGGAATGAAAAAGGAAAAAAAAAAAAAAAAGTTAAAATGGGTTGCAACAAGCTAAAAAAAAAAATTCTAGACCCAAAGCATAGATAAGCATCTCTAAAAAATGATCCTGTTTACAAACTCAACATGAAATTATACTTAATATTGGAGAAAACTTTCCGGTAACATGACCTATCCAACACACTGAGGAGCACAGCCTCGTCCGTCCTTCCTGCTTACTGGTCACGTACACCCTCAGAGCCTCAAGGCTTCATGTGGAAAGTGGTAGTACCACACATTGGGTGGGCGAGAGGAGCCAGCTTCCCTGAGGTAGTGTTGGAAGACTCTAGAACCCTGCAACAGCTCCATTCATTTTGATTGATTCAGGATTCTTTTCATTTACAAATAGATAAGCCCCAAGAAGGCAGAGGCTCCTGCAGCATGCCATCGCAGAGCGGGAACAAGGCTGCACGCCTCAACGCCTACTCTACCAGGCTGGAAGCCAGTCTCACTCACACTGCGGTGCCTTCTGAGTGCTGACACATCCTCGGATGAGCGCAAAGGCCAAGAGTTGCGCACTGCCATTCCTTTACCTTGACGATAAGGACTTGGGTGAGGTACTGGGCAAATGGCAGTGATGAGAGACCAAAGAGAATGACAGTGACTTTCTTCTGTCAAGCCAGAAATGTACCGATATATTAAGACATTTTAAAAATAAATCTTAAGTGGATTTTAACTATAAAAAATTTGAACATTATCTTTAGGCAATCAGTAAGTATCATCAACTATTTAAGATGTTGAAACAAAAAACATTCTCTGTGCTCTTAGTAAGAAGGACTCTAGTCAAGAGTATAGTGATGACTTCTGGCTCTATCCACTAGGTTAGACTGTGTAAACCAAGCCCAGGCACTTAACCTTTCAGTGTGCCAGCTCCTCTGTAAAAGGAGAGTAACCACAGCCTGCTTCATAGACTGCTATGAGTATTACACAAGTCAAGCACCGAGCACAGTGCCTCACAATGAAAAATTGGAATTGTTTGTAAGTGTCCAGAACTGACACAGAATAAGATCTTTATAAGCTTCAGTCAGCACCATCAGGATTACATTTTTAAAGAACATTTTAACATTAAAAGAATATCCAAAGTGTTCTGGAGAATTAGCTATATTATCTTTGTTTACTGATGAAAATTTTCTTTGGGACCTGCTGGACCCTACTGCCCAGCATCTGAAAATTTACTATCAACATCCATGAATATTACTTACAAAAGCTTTCACTCATTAGGATGAAGTGTGCACTAATTTCTAACAACAGTAATGTCTAAATAGTCTAAAAATAGAATCAAGAGTAAAAATGCCAGAATAAAGACCAGCACCAAAATACAGCCTCTCTTGGACCTAGAAGTACAGCCTCTGACACACCCAGAAAATAAGTTAGTGAAGAAAATCTCCAGGAATTTAGGAGCTGAGAGGAAAACTAGAAACTACAGAGAAGCTGGAGAAACTGAACACAATGCAGAGCGAAGAGCCAAGCTGTCTGGATAAACGATCCAGGGTGCTGGGGAGGAGGACCTGTCTCTACTAGCACAAGGTAGACTAAGAGGGTTGGCAGGACAAACAGCAGTCTGGGCTGCTGGTCCTGGCTTCGAGAAAAGCCCATGATATTGTAATGTGAAAAAGGTAGGGCTTTACTCTGAATGTATGGCAGGCTAGAGCTGGAGAAGAAATCCCCTGCAGTGCTGCACTTTTCAGTGTTTAATCAGGAGCCATTTGGGGAAGGATAGAGAGTTCAAGGCTAAGCTATGAAACACCTATAGAACAACTACACTTCAGAGTTTGTGTAGTTAGCCTGCCAGTGATAGGATGGGAGGAGCCCTTAAGAGACCTCTCCTGGAGAGGTCACAGACCCGCTGCAAAGTTTCATCTTAGCGTGGGAAGGAGATTGGAGTGCTGCCCCTCTGTGAGAAGCCAGGCCAGTCTCATGTGGTTTCAGGGAGAGCTGGGTCTGAAAGTGCTGGCATGAAGTCCTGACCGGCCCCACCCCTCTGTCCTGCCCTCTGCCTCTGTACCCAGCACAGTACGCAGTGCCATCTGTTTTTCCTGTCTGCTCACATGACCAGGGATACATGGTGGCCTGCATGGTTGCCACAGTCTGTGGTGTATGGGCAAAGGAGCTCCTGTACTGGGGGGAGCACCTCACAACACACAGGCTACAAAGGCAGATGCAGAAAGCAGTGACTTGGGGCACACAGAGGGACATGGAAGCTGAGAGCAGCTGGAGTGAATGCAACTCTAGCATGGACGCCAGTGACTGCCATGCCCAGAAGAAAATACAGGAAGGGCAGAACTCAGCATCCACACAGACAGGCTTGAGTGTCGAAGCAAAACATGACACAGTGATGACTTGCAGACTCCCCAGTACCTGCTGGGTTCCAATACTGCAGACTGCGGAGAGACATCACTCATTCAGAAGCCGAGAGGGACTTTGGACTCATTTTTCTTTTTCTTCACTGTTTTCTTTTTTGTCCTTTTTTTTGTTATTTCTTTTCTTTTGCTTGATCTCTTCTGTTACTTTTATCTAATTCTATTCATTTTCTGTTACTCCTTAATTGGATCCTTTATCTCACTTTACTTTCCTCCTACTCATTTTCCTTTTACTTTTCAAATTTTACTCCAATTTTCCCCTTCTCCATTTTTATTAGTATTACTATTAAGGTATGTATATTAATCTTTATTTAGTTGACTCTACACTATTATTGAATTTTCTACTGTTAATGATGGTATAGTTGTTTTATTTAGTACATATTTGCCATATGTCAATATTGTTTGTCTTTGTATGTATACTGCTATGACAGATCCCTTTTATTTTCTTTCTTTTTTTTGCCGAACTGGGGATTGAACTCAAGCCTTTGCACTTGCCAGGGAAGCATGTATTCCACTGAGCCATCTCCCCAGCCAGTAAGGATTTTTTTTTTTTTTTCTACGAATGCCTTCAGGGCAGGTTTGGCTGGCTTGAGTTGTGGGGATCAAACCACAGCAACCTGAGTCTGACTGCTTTGTTGAAGCAGCCACTTAAAGAACTGAGCCACGGGGCAGGCCCCCTACAGATCCCTTTTCTACTGTTAACGGTGGTACAGTAGTAGCTTTTATAGGTCTTAGGGCCGGGGAGATAGCTCAGTAGATTAAGCGCTTGCCTGGCAAGAGCAAGGTCAAGAGTTCAATACCTGATTCTGCCAAAAAAAAAAAAAAAAAAAAAGATTTCTAAGTACTGCAGAAAAACAGTAATCCATATTATTAAATCCTGAAAGAACTCATATGTATGCCTTAGTAAATAAAAATTTCAAAAGTGCTATCAGGAATAGCTTTGGTCCTACTTGAATAATATAAAAATTGTACATGATGATGATGATGATGGTGATGATTTGTCTTTTGGAAACAGGGTCTCACTATAGTTTAAGATGGCCTTGAGTTCACTTTGTAGCCCCAGCTGGTCTCAAACTTACAACGATTCTCCTGCCTTTGCCTCCTGAGTGCTGGGATTGATTATAGCTGTGTACCACCATGCCTGGCTTGCAACATAATATATTAAAAAAATACTTTCAGCTTTATGTATTAGTCCCTGAAAATATGAAATGATAAATGCCCCTTATCAAGCAAATGGTACAAAATATGGAGTATGAATTTTTCATATAGTCAAATAAAAACAAGAGAAAAAAGAGATGTATTTTGTAATGTACAATTTCATTAGAAGTAAACTATAAATATATATTCATAAGACTTAGTTCTCTATTTCACCAGCTAAAATGGCAATGTTTTATAATGATACACTTTCTTATAGAATCCACATAAAATACAGTAGAACAACAGAGGTTACTGTTGCACAATTAATACCTGTAATGTGTTCTTCCAATAGTTGACTTTCCTTCTCTCCACTGAGCTGTCACATCAGGGGGATCGAGTACCCCTTCGAAAATATGTTCCCAGAGATATAAGCCTGGTAATCAAGAAGCAAAAGACATAAAACATTTACTCTTTTGTATACCCAACTGTGTAAAAAGAGCTTATGTTCTGTTTTTCATATATCTGACTATGAAACAGAATGTTCCCCCTTTAGTCAGCTGGCAGGCAGTACTACCAAGCAAATGCTCAAAATCAACAATATGACAGCTAATGTATGAGAGAAAGTTCAGGGGTTTTCAATGTAAAATGTGGCTGTGGATTACGTTAAAAATAATAATCTCCCAGCTTCTAGATTTGAGAAACCCCTAGTATCACTGGACCCTTACTATCTGTTTTATTCTAAAATGAAATGCATTGGGCCAGCAAGATAGCTCAGCGGTCTAAAGCACCTGCTTAGGCACCCTTAGGCAACCACAGGGACCATGGTTTGACCCCTGGCACCACATGCCATGCCAGCCCTGCCACCAGGGCAGGCTGAGCCGGCTATACACACAAAACGAAATGCACTAATTACAAAAAAACAAAACCCACAACAAAGTTGTATGATTTGAGCTGTTTTTATAACAAAACAGAATTAAAATTGGGCCAAACACCACCCAAGGAACTCACAGACAAGCATTCAATATCAAGGAGCTAATACCTACCATCTTGAACCACTTTCTTGACCACATGCCATCCTTTGCAAACAAACGCTGCTTTGTCTTTTTGCCTTAGGGCAGTCTCTGAAGTATATTATAATTTCATCTGAATGAAAGCTTGAAGAATAAAAGATAGCAGCAGCACCCTAGACTGAGGTAGGATTGAGACCACCTAACACCTGTGAGATCCTTGTTTTAGAAATACCAGAAGGTATATTTTGTTGCATTCTCATTATACCCTGGCACTAAGATTCCTAAACAGGTACATTTAAAAATGTGGCTAATCAGGTAAGTCTTTCCAAATGTGCTAAGTTGAATACTGCTTCCTCTCGAGGATTTCCAGGTCCTAATCTCTTTGCGAATATGTCATCTTATATGGCAAGAGATTTTCTTAATGTGATCAAGTTAAGGATGCTGAGATGGAAAGATAATTGTGGGTCATCTAGGAGATTCTGTGTTATCATCAGGATTCTCACAGGGGCAGGTAGAAGGCTCAGAGTGAGGGAAGATGCCAACACAGAAATAGAGAGCAGAGTTATGCTGGGCTATAAATCAAGGAACATGTGTAGTGTCTAGAAACTCTAAAACTGCAATGAAACAGATTCTGCTATAGAAGCTACCAAAACATCACCCCAGGGACACTTTAGACTTTAGTCTTTACAGTAAAGTTGTGGTAATTTGTTTTGGCAGCTATAGGAAACTATAGATTACATAGATAAAATACAGTGCCTGGAAGTGAGATGCTACTGTAACAAATACTTTAAAATGTGGAAGTTGGAAGTGGCTTGGGGACTGGAAATGCAGAGAAGCTAGAAGAATTTTCAAGACTATGAATAAACTGAGGATAGAAATATACATTAATGACTCAGTTCATGAAGACCCAGAAAAAAGTGAGGAAGCCTAGACTGTCTTTGAGAAGGCCTAAATTGTCATAAACAGACTGTTGGTAAAGGCAACACTGGTGAAGTCTCAGAAGGACATGAACAATGTGTTATTTGGAGGGTCCTTGTAACAGCAAAAAGCTTAGCTGAACTGCATCCTGTACTGCATGTAAAGCAAACCTTGTAAGTGGTAAAGTTGCATATTTAGTTGAAGAGATTTCTAAGCAAAGTGTTAAAGATGTAAACTAGTTTCTTTGGGATTATAAAAAGTAAGAGAAAAGAAAGGTTATGTAAAAGTAATGCCAGAGGGCTGGTGAGATGGCTCAGTGGTCTAAAGCATCTACTTAGAACAAGCTTAGCTAAAGCACAGGGACCGCGGTTCAATCCCCCAGCACCACATGTCAGCCAGTCCCGACCCCTGGTGGGCTGAGCTGGACACACACACACACACACACACAAATAAATAAAAATTAAAAAAAAAAAAAGTAATGCCAGAATTTGATGATTTGGAATATTCTTGGATTGCAAGAGCAAGAGGTAGAGGTGTGCTTATGACCAGGAATGATGTGACCAGGCAGCACTTTACAAGCGCTTCATAGGGATCAGACTGGGATAGTCACTCACAGAAAGGGCTCCTAGAAGTCCTTTTGTGTATGATTCATGGAACTTTTCAACCATTTTGGTGAAGACCAGAAACAGAGATGGGGTTATTCAGGGATCTGTGTGATTCTTGTCTAATTGAGTGAATCCTTGTGGAATACACAGGAGACTAGACTCTTGAGATGGTTCCTGTTACAGACTCTTGAGACGGTTCCTGTAGCAGAAACCTTGGACTAAAAATGACACAGAGAGGCTGAAGTGAAATGAAGGCTGTTGGGCTCCCAGAATCCTACGAGCAAGAGAGAAGCTGATGAAACTACTCTGCTACAATCACATGCCTCTCTCTCTCTGACATACACACACACACACACACACACACACACACACACACACACACAGTAACTGTATGCATGGAATTTACAGGTCAGAAGGCAAAATTAGGAACTGCAGATTATTCTCAGGCCTTAAAATCTAATGGGGTTTGCCAGGCTGAATTTCAAAACTGCTAGTAATTCCATTTGACTTCCATTTTCTTCCTTTCTGAGTAGGAATGTCTGTAAGTGACATCCTCTGATTGCATGTGGGGAATAAATTAGAGAAGGAGCATCTGATAAAATTCACCTGGGTACTCTACTAATGGACTGAGAAGCAAAACGGTTTGGCAACATGAACACTAAAAGGTAAAATGTTAAAAACCAGAATGGGGAGGTAGAAGAGATGTAAAAGAAATCAACATCAGAGAGTTCTGAGAGGTCAGTAGTCATTTTTATTTTTTTTATTTTTATTTTTTTTTTGTGGAACCAGGGATTGAACTCAGGCCCTTGCGCTTGCCAGGGAAGCGCTTATTCCACTGAGCCATCTCCCCGGCTCAAGGGATTTTTTTTTTTTTTTTTAGTAGTCATTTTTAAAGGTACAAAATTCATGCAAGCATAAAATAATTTAGGAAGCACCATGAGTCAGGCACTATGCTCTGTTCAGTTTCATTTGGTACTCCTCTACCCCCATCCTGCCCTGAGGGCAGGGTTGGCATGGCATGTGGTGCTGGGGATTGAACTGTGGTCCCCTGCACCTGCCTAAGTTTGCTTAAGCAGGTGCTTTAGACTATCTTGTCAGCCCCTCATTTGGTACTTATTATTCATGTTCCATATTGTAATAAATCCAATCCATCATGCTCAAAGGACAAATAACGCCCCCTCTTTTTTTACAAACTTCTAAGTCTTCCATCCTTCACGAATGTCCCAAGTCTCTCATTAAGCACAGTACATATTCTGGAACACTAGACTCATGTGACATTCAAAGCAGAAGTACTTCTGTGTCAATCCTGTTTAGTCAATGACATACTCTGTCCCCCGGCTGGATACTCACAATAAACACTGGCACTGAGAAAGGCCCACAAAGAAGGACTTTATTTAACTTTGTTCTGTTTCGTGCTTCCCAAACTTGTTTGGCCATTAACAGCAGAGCCGCATCTTACACTTGTGTATCAAGTATCCCCAAATACACCAACTCATGAAGATTCAGTTGACACATGCATTTCATATAATGTTGCTACACGATCTACCCTGCAACTACAAATGAAGGTGTGCTCCGCTGAAGACCCTAAGGACAAGGAAAACTACTGAGAAAAAGCAACCAAAAAATGTATTATGATGCCTTGATAAACAATGCCTTGATTCATAAAATGAATCAAGTTCATTTTACAATGTTTTTCATAAGTCTCTGCTCTATATTTTATCTTACCAATTGCAGCTTTGCCCCAGATTTGTACTCTGTGGTCTGTGTTTCCTTTTGTTGATTTATTTAATATTTGAAGGCTAGTTTTAACTCTGTGCCGGTGCTCAGTTATCTCATCTCCTTCCCAAGGATTCCACTCTTCACTTCCCAAAGTAGATTCTGTTTTGAAAAGAGTAACAGTGTTTACCAATAAGTTATAACTGCTAGTGTAGATAAATTCAAGTCATTTAAATTAGATGTTTGAGGCCGGCCAGATAGCTCAGCGGACTAAAGTGCCTGCTTAGGCAGAGCGAAGTGGCTGGGTCTGATCCCCATCAGTGGTGCCAGGCCTGCCCCTGGGGTGTGCTGAGATGGCAATTGAGACCGCGTGGTGGTAGTGCGACAGCCTATAATCCCAGTGTTTGGGAGGCTGCATAGAGGAGAATCATTATGAATCTGATCTATGTAGTGAGGACCTGAACACCCTGTACCAAATACATAAAAATAAATAAATAAGATGTTTGAAGCCGGGCCTGGTGGCTCATACCCAGCACTCAGGAGGCTGAGGCTGGAAGATCTCTGTGAGTTCCAGGCCAGCCCTGGCTACAAAGTGAGTTCAAAACCAGCCTGAACTACATAAAACCCTGTCACAAAAAGACAAAAAAAAAAAAAAAATTGTGAGTTCTAATTTCATTCTAACTTCAAATTTTCATGAAACAGGACAATTATTTTCCCCCAAGACAAAACTTTGGATCAACCAGGTGACTGGTGGCACATGCCTCTAATCCCAAAGCTCTAGTTCAAGACCAGCTTGGGCCACACAGTGAGTTTAAAACCAGCCTATACTGCACAGCCAGAACTGTCCCACCCTTCACCAAGCAAAAATAACTGGCTTCGGGGGGCTGGTGAGATGGCTCAGTGGTCTAAAGCACCTACTTAGAACAAGCTTAGCAAAGCACAGCGACCGCGGTTTAATCCCCCAGCAGCACATCCCAGCCAGCCCCGCCCCCTGGTGGGCTGAGCTGGCCACACACACACACAAATAAATAAAATTAAAAAAAAATAGCTTTAAAAAAAAAACTGGCTTCATTTACATGTTTATAGATTTTTTTTTTTTTTTGAGATAGGATATTACTGTAGACCAGGTTGGCCTGCAACTCAAGATGCTCCTGCCTCTGGCTCTGTGGGAGCCGCCACGAAGCCAGGCTGAACTTTTGCGAGTCCTTATAAATTGAACCTATATAACCTATGGACAACTCAGAGTGAACTCAGAGTGCAGCGTCCACTAATTTCAGACATTGTTGTGGTAAATTCTGAATAAAGGGAAAGATAAGGCTGAGTCTGAGCCCAACGCAAGTGAAATATACAAGACGGGGTAATTTAACAACACCCGTGTCAAACAAAAGTCAGGACCCGGGGCTAGCACTAGTGGCTTGGCGACGCGGCCTTCCAATGCGTGCGCCCTCGGGGCAGCCCGCTCCAGCGCCTGCACGCGCAGTACGCCGGCGCGCGGCCTCCCGCAGCCAGGGGCATCCGCAGCGCCCGCCAAGCCCGGGCCAGGGCGGCCCGCAAGGCTGCCGGCGGTAAGGGCGGCCTGGGCCCGGGAAAGGGGCTGGACCCGAGAGCCGGGGCCCAGGGGAATCCTCCCAGCCCTTCCCCTACCTCGGCCGCGCCTCTCCCGCGCCGGAGCCGCTCCTTTCCTGGGACCCCGCGCGGTCGTGGCCGGAGGCCGACGGCGGGGCCCCAAGAAAACGCGGTAGGCGGCGTACAGGGAAAAGAGGCAGTACAGGGCGATGAGAAACGAGCAGAGCCGCTTCCGCGTCAGCCGCATCCCACTCCGGCTCTGCGTCTACCGCCCACAGCGCCCCGCCGGAAAGGAAGCGCTGAGAGCCGACCTGCGGGCAGCGCGGATCACAGGCCGGGCCGCAGGAGGAGCCACCGCCCACAGCAGCCCCAGCGCGTTGCGTCAGAGCAACTCGGCCACGCCCCCGGGCGGCCTCCCGCAAGCCCCGCCCATACCCCCGCCCCAACAGCAGAGTCCCGCCCATCCCCTGGGCCCGCCCCCGGGAAGCCGCCCACCTCTAAAGCCTCGCCCAAGACCCGCCCCTGAGAGCCTCCCAACACTGAGCCCCGCCCACTATACCTCCACTACCACCTGGTAGATCCCAGCCCCGCCCCACTCCCATAATTCCAACTACAGAGCCTGCTCTGAGACAGCCCCAAATATAGCCCCGCCCAGTCCCCGCCCCCAGAAGCCGCCCCCCCAAGGTCCCGCCCTCACCCCAGGTTAGCACTGGCAAGGACATGGAGATCTTGCCAACCTTTGATTTAGGAACAGGATTGGAAGACAGGCTTCTCAGGCGGCTTCCCAAGGTGGGACCCAGTGGGAACCTGTGTGACCCCCGGTGTACCCATTGTGCTTTTCAACGCTAGCCCTTGTACACAGGGACTTGGGAGCAAACAGCCACCGCCCCTGTGGACACAGACCTTAGGCTTGTTACATTGGTAGATGAATGACTATATGTATTTTTTTTTTTTTTTATAAGTGATGGTTACAGAACTTCATGAATGGAAAGGTTTGCACTCAGTTGTGTGTTTAGAGATGGTTCAAAGGACAAATGTATATACCTTATTACAAAAGTATTTTTAAAATTTTATTACTGTGATATGAGGAGAATGCTCACAAGTATGTAGCCTTCTGTCAGACAGGAGCTGTAAAATTGGGTATTTCAATGAATTTTCTATGATAAGCCTTCTGAAGTTGGGCTGCAATTTCAATTTCAGTTGTGTCTGGTATTACTGTTCAAATTGTCTGGCAGGATTGTAGGACACAGCTGCAGAATTGCCCTGTGCCTGGCTTAGTTTTCTACTTGATTCAGAGTTCTGTTAACGTCACTGGATAATGTTTCCTTATCCTTCCCTTAGCGAAAATACAGGTTTCCTACATTTTATGCTCTTGGTGTTAGGTTCTCTGTCTTCTAAGTGAAGATGAGAAAAGAATTCTACAGCTGGCTGGAAATTTAGTTTGCATCCTTTCATGGCTGAGCTGGGAGCAGAATCCTTGGCTTAGTTCTCCATGCCTGCCAGTACGACAGTTATGGCTGACTTCACCCAGCTTTGGTGAATGTAGTCACACAGTTTAATTATCTCATTTGATTCTGAATAATACTGATTGTTCTTCCAAATTAAACCTATTATAAAAGGACAAAACAATTGAGAATATTAAAACAATGTTGTATCGTTCCTGGACACAGTTTCAGAGGGACTCCCAAAGGTGTGACCCTCGAAGTGTGAGTGCAAGAATGAACTAATTACATATGTCTACTGTGGACTACATGTCTATGTCCACCTCTGCTCAAATTCATATGTCAAAATCCTGATCTCCAAGGTACTGGAGATGGGGAGCTGTGGGAAGTGATTAGGTCATGAGCAGGAAGCATAATCTTGAAGAGACATTGATATGGATGGGTAGAACCATTATCTGTGTAAGTGTTACAGCCCCTCCTCTGTCAGTCTTTTCCTCATGCTCCCTTCCTGCCATACCTTCCATGCCCTATATGCAAATCCATCACTGCTGTGACATGTCATCAAAATTTGTGTTCATACATAGCGTACTATCTACTAGCTTTAGTAAAAGCTACTTAGAAAGATTACTTACATATATGTTAGTGCCATCAGCAACTGTGAAGTCTGCTATACGATAAGCCCTTCTGAGTGGGCGCCATGGTAAGCAGTAGACTTAGAGATTCATGAGCGACATGGAAGGATTTCTTGAGAGCTAGAACTGGTGTGGCTCCCTGGCTAACTCACTGCTGTCATTCATCATTTCTCCTTGAGAAGAAAGCCCAGTGTAGGTGCAGGAGTGATCCAAATGTTTCAGTTTCTTTTAGCCTCATTTCCTTTCTGCTCACCTCACTTATGGGATTTCAGTAATATATCTTCCCTCTTAATTTTGACTTCTCCTCACAAAATCTTGATGGATGCTCATATCCATCAACTTCACATATTTCTATTAGCTCTTTGTAATAGATTTCTTTTCCAACAGAATAGATGCTTCTGATCAATACTGTTCATTGAATTATTTATTTTCCATAATTTTTTTTGAGAAACAAATAGCAATGAGACAGTTTCAAACCAAATTGGTAGGACAGTTTCAGTAATTAACACATTGCATACTCTCTTCCTAGTGGTTATTTGCTGTACAAGATGAGGACATGATATCCTATTTACAAACACTATTAGGGGCTGGTGAGATGGCTCAGTGGTCTAAAGCACCTACTTGGAACAAGCTTGGCAAAGCTCAGGGACTGCGGTTCAATC